GGCTGCCAGGTCTGGTCCTGCCAGGGCGGTGCCGTGGGGCCGCTGGGCGCCGCCACCGCCCTCGCAGCTGGAATACTGGACGGACGGGGTGGGAGCCGTTGGCTGCCCAACGGGGTCTGGCCAGTCTTGAAACCCGAGGCCTGCATAGTAGAGGAAGCTCCCCCAAGGCATCGTGGCTTGGTGGGAGAGCAGATACGTGCATCAATTCATGTATAAATTCTGAGGTGGGGGGTCACTTGAATGCTGGAGTTTGGAACCAGCCTGGCAACATGAGACAAAATAACTGTAACAATCAGGCTGTGGAGACATGGCCTGTCACCGTGGCAGACAGACAGTCAACAATCCTAATTTTGATATGGTCATAAGGGCTAAGACAGGAAAAGCAGGCCAAGGCAATAGTGAAAAGCTGGGGAGGTAAACTGCTCTGCAGAAAGTATCAGAAACATGTGGACTTTTCAGCAGATTATAGGGTAGGGCCAGGGGTTTAGCTCAGTGGTTCTTCGGCCTGCCTCGAAAGCACAAGGACCCCAGTTTGTTCCCTGGTACAAAAAAAAAAAAAAGAATAGCGGTCCTGAGAAAGGCTTAAGGAGGGAACAGTGCATGCGCAGTTATTGTGTCCCAGACTAGACCAACCTGTGAAAGAACAGCCAGAAGATAGTTGTGTCTGCAATGGAATGAGCCTGCAGCAGGTAGATGAGAACATGGAAGGCTTGGCAGGGGGTTGGGGTGAGGTGGGTGTTGCTCCTGGGCTCAGAGCACAGAAAATTCCAACGCAGATGAATGATTCTTGTAGAGTATTAGCTGGTGAGCAGGTGTTTTGTTTTTGTTTTTGTTTTTGTACTGAGGACTGAACTCAGGACCTTGCACTTTCCACACAGGCAGGTGGCAGCACCACTGAGCTAAATCCCCGACCCTGGTGAGCAGTATTAATGGTGGGTGGGTCTGTTCATGAAAGGAGCCTATCAGCTCTCTTCTGGGAAAGGAAACCAGGCTCGGAGAGCAGAGGGCCGAGGAACCCCTGGGAACCCCATATTATCTTCTGACACCTACCTGTTAGCCTGCCCTGCCCCTCCCATTGCAGGGACTGGGCAGGTAATTCAGGCTCCAGGTGTTGGTTTTTCCCAGCCCCTTACCCCTTCAGTGAACTTAACTGGGCTCTTTACTGGGCTCCTTCCAAGCCCAGGGGACCATCCTAGTAACTTTGGTTTTTGTACTGGGGATTGAACCCATGGCCTTAGCACTGAGCTACATTCCCAGCCTTTTTTTTAGGGGGGAGGTCTTGCTAAATTGCTCAGGCTGGGGTTGAACTTGTACTTGTGATCCTCCTGCTTCAGACTCCCAGGGTGCTGGCATTACAGATGTGTTACCATACCCAGCCCATGCTTCACATACTTTAACGTTGCATGGACAAACAGGGAAGATCACAGCTGCTAAACAGCATTTGAACCAGGCTTCCTGATGGCAAGATGAGGGCACTGACCCTCATAGGTAACTTTCAGGATGTGGCTGGTCCTGGCATAGTACTTGCTTCTTCCGGGGCACAATCTTTCACCTCTTGGAAGACTTCCTCAGGCAAGGGGGAGAAAGGCAGGAGTATGCAGTGCATGAGGCCAGGCCGCCACCTTGTGGTAAAAGTCAGTAACTACGGAGTCACCTTGGAGAAGAAGATGGGGATTCGGAAGGGGAGAACAGGAAAAAAAAGCCAGACAGAGCACGGACAGACTCTTATCTTTCCCTAATACTTTATTGGTTACCTACAGACCTGTGCCAGTGGGGTGGGCCCCAGGGAAGGGTCACTTGTCACCAGATCCCAGTGGAGGACCAGAAAGCCTTGGCCAAGCCCTCCAGTCTTCACCCAGGCCATGGAGTTTGGAGGGGTAGGTCTGTCATCCCTGGGCCAGCATGGACAGCCAGGTAGAGGTACAGGTGTGACCCAAGAACACAAGCTCACTCCCTATCTGCCAGCCTAGTTGTGTTTGGAGAAGTATTCCTTGCTGTCATCCACAGTGGGCTTGATTGTATCGCTGCCGGGCTTCCAGCCAGCAGGACAGACTGTGGAGAGAGAGGATGTGTATGTAAGGATCACAGTAAAGCCCAGGGGATGGAGGGAAAGCCAGAGCCTATGTTGCAGAAAAAATAAAAAAGCTGAAGCTGGGCATGATGGGCACACCTGTAATTCTAGGACTCTGGGAGGCTGAGGCAAGAGAATCACAAATTTGAGACTAACCTGGGCAATTCAGCCACTAAGTGAGACCCTGTCTCAAAAAGCGCTGGGAAGGCCCTGGATTCAACCCCCATTACCACACACACTCACACACAGACAAGAAAGAAATCTGAGCATGGGGGCCTGTCATCCTAGCACTCAAGGAAACTGAGGCAGAAAGATCTCTGTGAGTTCAAGGTTAGGCTGGGCTACATAAGACTCTGTTTCAAAAAACAGAAGAAGATAAGCCGGCCTGGTGGTGCACGCCTGTAATCCCAGCACTCCGGAGGCTGAGGCAGGAGGATCACTGTGAGTTCTAGACCAGCATGGGCTACACCGTGAGTTCCAGGGCAGTCTCAAGTACATAGTGAGACCTGTCTCAAAAAACAAAACAAAACAAAAAAACCCAAAAAAACAAAAAAACAAAAAAAACCAGAAGAGAGCAGGGGATTTAGGTCAGTGGTGCCACTGCCTACCTCGCAAGGACAAGGTCCCAAGTTCAATCTACGGTTAAAAAAAAAAAATTAGCTCAGTGGTGCAGCCAACTGCCTTGCAAGTGCAAGGAAGCAGTGGTCAAAACCCAAGCCATAAGCCCAGACACAGCATTTTCTGGTTGTTTTGAGACAGGCTATCACTATTTAGTCCAGGCTGGCCTTGAACTTATTACATAGCCCAGGATGGCCTCAAGTGCTAGGATTACAGGCTTGCCCTACCATTCTCTGAACTATTTTCCTGTTGGAGTTTTTTATTTCTTTTTCTTCCTAGCACAGCTCCCTTTCTATACTGGAGATGGAACCCAGGGCCTTCACACTGAACATTTAAAAAATTTTTTTAAATTTTGAGGTAGTCTTGAAAACTAAGTTTCACAGGCTATGGTTGAACTCATTCCTCCTGCCTCAGGCTCCCAGAGTGCTGAGGTTTTGGGTGTAGGCTAGCACATTCAGCTTTTGCCCCTTTCAATACCTTCACTGTTCCTTAGTCCTAATTCTTTTTTTTGGTACCGGGGATTGAACTCAGGTCCTTGTGTTTGCGAGGCAGGTGGTGGAACCACTGAGCTAAATCCCCGACCCCCTTAGTCCTATAAGTCATTTTCTGAAAATGAGAAGTTACTCTGAGCAGGTTGGGGATGTAGTTTCAGTGCCTAGCATATGGGGGAGGCTCCTGGTTCCATCCTCAGCATCACATTAAGGAAAAAAAGAGCCAGGTGAGGTGGTGCACGCCTATAATCTTAGCATTCGGGAGGCTGAGGCAGGAGGATCACTGTGAGTTCAAAACCAGCCTGGACTACATAGTGAGTTCCATGGTAGTCTCAAGTACATAGTGAGACCCTGTCTCAAAAGAGAAAGAAAGAGGGCCGGGGATTTAGCTCAGTGGTTCCATCACCTGTCTTGCAAGCGCAAAGACCTGAGTTTGATCCCCAGTACCAAAAAAAAAGAAAGTCTGATTCAATTTCCATTATTCAAGCATGACTTGGGACATACCCTCTCAAATACCTTCTGTCACTGTCTACCACCTCCCAATCTCCATCCACACACTTACTGAGTATTAAGCCTTCACATTGAGCTATATCCCAAGCCCATTTTTTATTTTGAGACGCTCTCTGAGTAATTTGATAAATTGCCCAGCCTGGCCTTGAACTTCTGATTCTCCTGCCTCAGCCTCCCAAAGTGCTCGGATTATAGGCATGCGTCTCCGTGCCTAGCTGAGCTCCCTGCTCTTGTATTGAGGTACTTCCTATAGATAAGAACCAAAGATGAATCTTCTTGGGGCCCTCACCTCCATTCTACACAGATGCTAGAGCGGGCAGTGCATGTCAGCATGACGCAGAGGAGCTGAGCAAGCAGCTGTGAGGACGCACACGCACTCATCCTGCTCACCTTCCCCATGTTTATCTGTGTACTGGAAGGCCTGGACCAGCCGCAGTGTCTCATCCACAGAGCGCCCCACGGGCAAATCATTCACAGTGATCTGTCGAAGGACACCCTTGCCATCGATGATGAAGAGGCCCCTGGAGATACAGGCTTTCTAAGTGATGAGCTGGGGGCTCCCACCTCCAGGGCCAGGCAAGGGAGCCCTACCCCAAGGCCAGCCACCAAAGTCCAGTCATCCTGGGACAGGGCTTCCTGAGCTGGGCAGAGTTCCCACCATACCTGTAGGCGATACCCTCATCACTTTTCAGCACTCCATATTTATCAGACAAGCTTCTGGTCAAGTCAGCAAGCAGGGGGATATTCAGGGGGCCCAAGCCTCCCTCCTTACGGGGGGTGTTGATCCTGGGGGTAGCAGAGACAGGATTAGGGCCTCAGGGTGCCTGGCACAGGGTTCTCTGTGATAAGGGCTGTAGTAGGGATGCTGAAGGCAGGAGATAAAGGAGTTAGAACAGGGCCCAGGAGCCCCACCCACCACGCCCTGGTGGGCTGTGCAGAGCCCGAAGAATTCCATATTCTGGCCAGCAGAAGGCAACTGAGGGCTAAAACTACCTCTGGCCAAGTAGCTTTCCATGTGCTCATGGGCTCCATATCATGCAGTAGAATCAAATTCCCCATCCTCCTAGCTGGGATCCCTGGCCCAGCCCTTCATTGGCTGAACTAGAGTTTCCACCTCTGTAAATAGGGTGTCTCAGCCTGTCTCTGATAACTAGGAGAGACAAAGCATCTGCAACTTAACGTCCCAGGCCCAGAACTATCTGCCAAAAGCTAATTACTGTCATCAGCATTAAGGAATGGAGTGTCTTTTTGCCCATTCGTTCAAGGTGGGGAAAGGAGGCTACAGAACACGGTCCTGTGCTGTGGGCCTCGCGGTGCCATCTGGCCCTTACCAAGCCAGGTGGGTGAACTGTGAGTCCACGGACACCCCCAGCACCTCGCAGTTCAGCTTTCGGAAGTCCTCAGCATGCTCGCTGAATGCAATGATCTCTGTGGGGCACACGAAGGTGAAGTCCAGCGGGTAGAAGAAGAGGACCACGTACTTCCCTGCAGACAGACAGAAGTCAGGCCAGCCCCTCCGCAGCAAAGCAGTCCCAACTCGCTGGCCCCCTGCTGTCACCTCACCTCTAAAGTCCGAGAGCTTGACCTCTTTGAAGGCGCCGTCCACCACAGCAGTGGCCGTGAAGTCCGGGGCGGGCTTCCCGATGTGCGCACTACCGGACGCCATGGCTGGAAGCCGAGACCCCGCGCTCAGTGCCCGAGGACCCTTTGTCCTAGCTCCTCAAGGTCACGCGCCCGGAGGCCAGGGGCTGAGTCCGAGGGGCGGAGCAGCCGCATCCCAGCCCCCGCCCTACCCCTCCTTCCTGGGCTTGGGTCTGCCAGGGCCTCCCGGACACCCGCCTCCCCACCCAGGGCACCTACATCAGCGGCCCACCCGGAGTCCCCATCCCGAGGCAGACAGCGAATCCCCAAGAGCAAGACGGGGGTGCTCGGCGATCGCGCCTCGGCTGCAAGCAAGACTCTCTCTGGCCTCGGTTTCCCCCGCAAGGACAAAGGCGGCCACCATGGCGGATGGAGAACAAAGGAGGCCAGGGTTGAGGTCTGGATAGAGCCAAGACTGCACCGAGAAGGCTCCCCCGACCGGATGGATTCGGAGTGGCTGTACCTGCGTGGGTGAGAGCTGGACCCGCGGACAAGGAGAAGGACAGACTAGATTGGCAACTCCCAGTGCGCCCTGGGCCGCGGAATCTTTTTATACTCAGACCAACCACGGCGCGTGGGGCGGGGGCAAGTGGGCGTGGCCTGGGGCGGGCGGGCCCACTGCATCTCAAAGGGGGAGCGGCTCAGCCGGCCGGACCACCTAGCCTGCGCGGCGAGAAGAGCGCTCGGCCCCTGGGTGCGCCCTGGCCGTTGGAGTCCTTCATGGCCCAACTGCTGAACTCCTGCCAGAACAGGCCGGCACTCCTGCTGCCGTTTCTGATGCTCCTGCTGCCAGAGACATCGGCCCAGGTCTACCCTGACTACCAGTACTTCGGCCAGCAAGGTGAAGGTGACACCTGGGAGCTGCTGCGGCTTCAACATCAAAAGGGTAATATGGCAGGCGGCGGGGCGTGCCCAGGGCTACACTGGCTGCAAACCGACCCAGCTCTAGGTATTTCCAGTCTCGTCCCCTGGGGATGGTGACTACTGCGAGACTCAGTTTTCTGCTCTGTAAATGGAAATGGACGCTGCCTGTGAGCAACAGCCAGTGGCAGGGAACGTGGTAGGCATTAACCAAGGAAGAAACACAGCCAAACACCCAAGGATGGTGCTAGGAAGACCAGACCGACCAACAAGGAGGCAGGGAGCTGGGAAAGCCAGAAAAGGGTTGGGCGGTGTCATATGGACTGAGTAACAAGCAGAAACCCACAGTGCAGAGTTGGGGAGTGTCCAGGACAGGGGACACCAAGTGCCTAGGCCAAAAGACAGAGGAATAGGAAGAGGTGTGGCAGAGACCTGGCAAGAGGTAGAACCTGAGGCGGCTCTGGGATCAGGCCTGCATCGTATGGACAGAGAATGGGCACCAAGCATCTTAATAAGTTATAGTTGGGGGCGTGGCTCCTCAGGAGTTCCTCTGCCTAGTGGTGGAGGGCCTGGGCTCCACCCCCCCACACCTGCACTGTGCTAAAAACAAAAAACTAACAACGAAAACAAAGTTATAGCTGCTTTCAACATGATCATAATAATTACTTTGGTTCTACATGTTAGCACAGCGCCAGGGAGTTTAAGTACCATCAATTATGTCAATTATGCCATTTAATTTACCACCTGTCAGCCCTGCTGGTCAGGTGGCACTGTGCCAGCTGGATAAGCCCAGGATTAATCCCCTAGTGTTGGTTGTCATTTTTGAATGGCAAGATTTCAATTTCCTTACCTGGTACTAATGAGAACACTAAATATCACAGAAACAGAGTCTAGCAACTACGAGCTGATATGTTAGGGGTTTGTTGTTTTTTCTTTCTGGTAGTGGGGATTGAACCCAGGGCTTTGGCACTCATCTACAAACCCAGGCCCCTCTTTCTTTGTTTTGAGACAGGGTCTTGCTAAGTTATCTAGGCTGGGCTTGGACTTGGGATCTGCTTGTTTCAGCCTCCCGGAGTGGTGTGATGACAGGCGTGTACCACCAAAGCTGCCTAATTGTTAATGTTATCTTTGTCCCTCCCTGGAGGGTGGTTGGGGGGTAAGTGCTACCTGGGTCTTTATTTCCTCTCCATCTCTAGTTGAGGAGAACTCTGTACTTGGCCCGTGGGGAAAGTGGCATTGTCTCTGCGACCTAGGCAAACAGGAGCGCAGCCGAAAGGTGCAGGGCACAGCGCCAGGCCCAGTGTTCATGGACCGTGACAACCTGGTGCAGAGGAAGCCCTGCCGGCAGCGGGACTGTGCGTCTTGCCGGCCGATGGACTGTGACTGGAGGCCCTGAGCCCGGTGAGCTCTGTGTGGAGGAGGCAGGGTGGATAGGGCTGGCTAGGCCTAGAGTCCCTTGGGGAGGACAGGAGCCAGAAAGGACTAGAGGGCAGGTCCAGGCTAGGAAGAGAAGGGGAACTGGGCCTTTGGGCTGATGATGGAGTGTAGGGGTCAGAGAAAGAAAGTCAGGGCATGGAAGCCCCTGTGATAATCCACGGAGAAAGCAAGAAAGATAGTGGGGACAAGGAGGGCTGGCTAGAAGCAGAAAACTAGAATCCTAAGGGGAGGTAGAGGACATGCACCCCACTTCTTCCGGGAGAGGAAGTGGAGAGGGGCCTGGGAGTGAGAGCTCAGCTAAGATAGGAGTTGGGATAGAAGTAGAAACCTGAATGCTGAGTTGGGAGAAAGGAGCTCAAATAGTGGATGGAGACCCTGAGCAGGAATCTGTGCGGGTCTGGATCTCCATTATAGGTAAGGGAGGCTTGGCTTGAGCCCTCTCTTTTCTTCCTATTACTGGGATTGAATACAGAGTTTTCACACTGAGCTACAGCCCCAGTCATTTGTTGGTTGGTTGGTTGATTTGATTGTTTATTGAGGTAGGGTCTTGCTATGTAGTCCAGGTTGGCCTTGAACTCACTCTGTCTCCCAGGATGGCCTCAAACAGTGGCTATCCTCTTGCTTCAAACTCCTGGGTGCTAAGCAGACAGATGTATGCTACCATGCCCGGGTCTATTTTATTTTGAGACCAGATCCTGGCTGATTTGCTAAGTTGCCCAGGCTGGGCTGGAACTTGCCCTGCTTCAGCCTCTCAGAGTGTGAGAGACTTGGACTGAATGAAAGACAGTAGGAAGTAGAGGTCTTGAGTGTAGGGAAGATCCGAGTGGACGACCAAGGAAGAGTTTGGGAACCCCAGTGCAGGAGGCCTGAGTCCAGTGGAAGCGGAGACCCCCAAGTACAGGAGGCAGATACCTCGTGTGTGTGGAGCGGGGAGAATATTGGCATCTGAGTGCAAGGTGGATAGCGGAGATCCATGTTTTGGAAGTACAGTGATACATGATTTTCTAAGCCCCCCAAAAGCTGCGTGTGCCTGTTTCTTTTATTTCCTCTCTTCTCACTAGCCTCTCCAGGGGGAGCCCAGGAGGCCCCAGGGTGGAACTTGCAAAGCGACTCCGCCCACAGTGTACCGCAACCCACACCCTGGAGGGGGAACCTTTGTGAACTACAATTCCCAGAAGACCATAGGGCAGCGTCAACCTCATCTATTGCGTAAGTGTAAAGTTCCTGCAGGGACGTCGGGCTTCTTCTGTGTGCCAATTGGTCAGAATCTAGCTCAGCTCTGCAGTCCTGCGGAAAACGCGCGCCGAGATCGGAACCACCGCATTGGTTACTACAGGCGGTGGCGGCGCCATGGACTTCAGCGAACTGGAGAAGGACAATACGGGCCGCTGTCGTCTGAGCTCGCCTGTGCCTGCCGTGTGCATTGAGGAGCCCTGTGTTCTGGGCGTAGATGAAGCGGGCCGGGGCCCCGTGCTGGGTGGGCCCCTAGGGCCAGGGATGGGGAAGGCGTTGTAATGGGGAGGCTTGTTGGGTGGGTCTGGGTCTGGGGAGTGATCATGGGAAATCTACAGACACCGGAGAAAGCTAGGATGATGGAACAGGGGTTGCAGCTTTCGCGGGCTCTCTGGTTGCAACCTGCTCTTGTATACCTGACCTCCCTCCTCCCCAGGCCCCATGGTCTACGCCATCTGTTATTGCCCCCAGTCCCGCCTGGCAGATCTGGAGGCCCTGAAAGTGGCGGGTGAGCCTGAGGTGTACACTGGGGATGGGTTGGTTCCCGCGCAGGTTCAGGGGGCGGCTGGAAAATGGAGCGGGAGAACAGGAATTGAGAGAACCTGCTGCCCCTCCTTTATCCAACCTCCTCCCAGACTCAAAGACCCTGTCAGAAAGTGAGCGGGAGAGGCTGTTTGCGAAAATGGAGGAAGACCGGGACTTTGTGGGCTGGGCCCTAGATGTGCTGTCTCCAAACCTCATCTCCACCAGCATGCTTGGGCGGTGAGTGTCCCTGACAGGTCGGTGTGGAGGGATAGCCAGCGTGGACTGAGGTCAGCTGAACTCTCTATCCTGCTGCAGGGTCAAATACAACCTGAACTCCCTGTCCCATGACACAGCCACAGGGCTGATCCAGTATGCATTGGACCAGGGTGTGAAGGTTACCCAGGTGAGCCAACTTTTTGGGTTCCATTTGATTATCTTTGGATAAAATGGGAGGGTTAAAAAAAACAAGTGCAGTGAGTGTTAAAAGATTGTAGCTCAGTGGTAGAGCCTGTGCTTAACAAGTACAAGGTCCTGGGTCCTGTCCACCATCCCCCCTCCATAAGAAGGAAAATAAGAGGCCGGGCATGGTGGTGCATGCCTGTAATCCCAGCACTCGGGAGGCTGAGGCAGGAGGATCGCTGTGAGTTCAAGACCAGCCTGGGCTACATAATGAGTTCCAGGTCAGTCTCAACTACATGGTGAGACCCTGTCTCAAAAAAAAAGAAGGAAAATAAAACTTACTGCAAGGAAAAATAATGCAGGGGGCAGATTAGTATCAGATGCATTATGAATGCATTATTTTTGCCCTAAATGTGTGCCCCACACCTGTCTGCTCCTAATGGCCTGAAAGGTCTGGAACAAATTCCACATCTGTCCACCTTCCCACAGCATCTGTCACAGACCAGGGTGCCCCCACACACCTCAAAGCCTGCTCAGCTTCCTCCCTGGTCTCCACCTCCAGCCCCCTCCTCTTTAGTCTACCTCCCACGCAGCAGACCAGCGTCTTTGTGAAATGTAAATCTTGACATTTGCTTTTGTGTTCACAGTGGAAATTAAATTGGGAAAATTATATCAAGTGGGGGAGAGTGAAATTAAATTACCAGGGAAAAACATTCATTGGCACAGTATTGATTTCTGGGAGTGTAGAACCGGCCATTTTGAAAGAATGATGGGAAAATGCACCTGACACAGGGGATGTAGTGTGCAGGTCATGCAGAGGAGGGGGCTGAGGCCAAGTCTCTGGTGCAAAGCTGGAGACTGGGCTGGAGCAGGTGACAAAGGCCTTGCCCTTGGCCAATTGTACACAGATAATAGTGACTCCTGAGAACTAGTGTGACTATAAAGGGGCCACGTGCCCTCATCAGTTTGTTGACCCCACTTCTGTGCTCCAGGAATAGGGCAGCCTACTGCTGCTGCTCCCCACACTCAGTGCAAGACCGTTGTAGTAGCTGTTCTCATCTCCTGGAGCATTCTTCCCCAGATTCTCGCATGCCTGCCTTCTCCTGCTTCAAAACTTTATTCAGTTAGGGCCCAGGATTTAGCTCAGTGGTTCCACTGCCTGCCTCACAAGTGCAAGGACCCAAGTTCGATCCCCGGTACAAAAAAAAAAAAAACTATTCAATTATTCAATAATCACCTCCTTGGACTGTCTCCCAACCTTACTAATCATGTTTAAAATTATAACCATTAGGTATGGTGGCACATGCTTGTAATCCCCGCATTTGGGTAGCTGAGGGCGGAGGAGCTCCATGAGTTCAAGGTCAGCCTGAACTACATAGCAAGACCCTGTCTCAAAACAAAACAACAAAAAATTACAACCCCTTTTAGTTGTTCAATGTTCTTTATTACTTATCCTGGGGTTTTTTTGTTTTGTTTTTGAGACAGGGTCTTACTAAGTAGTTCAGGCTGGCCTTGAGCTCACTATATACCCCAGGCAGTCCTCAAACTCACAGGGATTCTCCTGTCTCAGCCTCCTGAGTGCTGGGATTACATGTATGCACCATCAGGCCTAGCTTGGTTTTTTTGTTTGTATGTGTGTGTGTTTGTATGTATGTATTTTCCAATATCAGGAATAGAACTCAGGACCTTGTGTTTGGCAAGGAAGCATGGCCCCACTGAGCTATATCCTCAGCCCTTTGTTTTAAATGTAAAATATATTTAATCAGGCCTGAGGGTATAGTTCAGTGGCTCAGTGCTTGCCTAGTATATATGGCTTTAATCCACAGCACCACAAAAAAGAAAGAAGAAAGAGTATTTTGAGCAGTAGAAACAGCAAGTGAAATGCTGAGAGGATGGATCCTTTTCCTAACTGTTTCTTTAGCTGTTTGTCGAATGAATACATTTCTGTCACCATGGCAGGTATTTGTGGACACTGTGGGGCTGCCAGAGATATACCAGAAGCGGCTGCAGCATCGCTTTCCTGAGATCACGGTGACGGTCAAAGCCAAAGCAGACGCCCTCTACCCTGTGGTCAGTGCCGCCAGCATCTGTGCCAAGGTCAGCGCCCACTGGGCACAGCCAGTTCCCAGCATCCCCTTGGGCATGGGGCAGATAGGGCTGTGGAGGTGGAAAGAGAGTACTAGCCCCTGTCCTCTGTCCCGCCCAAAGGTGGCTCGAGACCAGGCTGTGAAGAGCTGGCAGTTTGTGGAGAAACTGCAGGACCTGGATGCTGACTACGGTTCAGGCTACCCCAATGGTGAGGGGCGGGGTGGCCTGCCTGCCCTGCTGCCACCCCAACACACTGGCTGTGCTGGGGCTGCTGACATGACCAGGACCAGAGCTGGCTGTGCTGAGTTGTTCCCCAAGGCAGAAAAGGCAGCAGCCCAGCTCATGGTGGGCACATGACCAATAAGTGACAGCTGCTTCCATCCTGCAGGGCCCCTCCTATCTCCTCTTCTTACTTTTTTATGTGTTTGTTTTTGAGACAGAGTATCAGTATGTAGTCCAAGTTGGCCTTAAATTCACTATGTAGCCCAGGCTGACCTCAAACTCTCAGCGATCCTCCTGCCTCAGCCTCCTCAGTGCCAAAATAACATGGGTGTGCCACCACTATCAGGCTCCTTTTTCTTTTTTCTTTTTTTGGTACCGGGGATTGAACTAAGGTCCTTGTGCCTGCGAGGCAGGCGGCGGAACCACTGAGCTGAATCCCCAGCCCCGGGCTCCTTTTTTGCGCTTGTCTGTCTGGAGACCCAGAGAGTGAGACCCAAGGTTGGTGTGTGTCTGTCTGTCAAGAGAAAGCCGTCAGGAATGTGGGGTGGCGGATCACATCTGGTGGCCTTGGCTTCAGTCCATTGATTTCTTCCCACTGTGGCACTCAAGTCTCCTCACTTAGGACGTGAAAATGGTCAGATACCTCCCCGAAAACTACCTGTGTAAACCTGGGGCGGGTGGAGCCCTGTGAAGGCACAGCAGCGGGTAGGACGTCACTCAGTGGTAGAGGTGCGTCGTGTGAGACTGACTTTCATTCCCAGCGACAAAGAAGAAGATAAAGTGAGGAAGCAGCAGCTGGGTCCAAAGGATCCTCTGGTCCTGGAGTTCAGAGAGTGGTGGGGCAGGGGGCACACTGTGGGGCAGAACTCCAGTGTGGCTAAAACCACTTGGAATCAGGTATGGTGGCACACACCTGCCATTCTAGCACTCTGGGAGGCTGAGGCAGGAAGATTGAAAGTCGTCTGTATCCCAGCATTTGGAAGGCTGAGGCAGGAGGATCATCATGAGTTCAAGGCCAACCTGGACTACATAACCAGACCCTGTGTCAAAAACAGACAAAAAACAAAGTTCCAGCCAGGCCTGGGCAATTTTACAAATCCCTGAGACTCTTGTCTCCCCCACCCCAGGAATGGAACTCAGGACCTTGTGCTTGCAAGGCAATGGAGCCACTGAGCTAAATCTCTGGCCCCTTGACACTGTCTTAAAATAAAAATGACTGAGGCAGCATGGGAATGTAGCTCAGTGGTGCTGTGCCTGCTTGGCAAGTGCAAGTTCCTGAGTTCCATCCCTGGAAGAAAAAAAAAAGCCAGGCATAGTGGCGCACTCCTGGAATCCCAATACAGGGCTGAGGCAGGAGGGTCGCTGTGAGTTCAAGGCCAGCCTGGGCTACATAGTATAAGGCTTGTCCAAACTACACAGTGACACCTTCCCTCAAAAAGAAAAAATTAAAGATGAAAATAAAAAGGATTGGGAATGCAGCTCAGTGTGAAGGCCTTGGGATCGATCTCTGTTATGCCTGCCCACCCCACCCCTGCAAAGAAAGAAAAATCCCCTCAAATGCTGGTTTTATGATCCTTGTCTTTGGGGGTCAGAGGGTGACTTAAAGGCAATCTCCCCAGAAGCTGCACTGTTTTCTTTTTCTTCCTCAGTATTGGAGATTGAATACAAGCCCTTTGCCCTGACCTACCTCCCAAGACCTTTTTTTTTTTTTTCTTGGTACTGGTGATGGAACTCACCCTTGCACTTGGGAGGCAGGTGCGGTGCTAGTGAACTAAATCCCTGGCCCCTCAGACCTTATGTTTTTTGGTACCAGGGATCGAACTCGGGTCCTTGCTCTTGCAAGGCAGGTGGTGGAACCACTGAGCTGAATCCCCAGCCACCCCCGCAGACCTTTCTTAAAAGTTGGTTTCAAGACAGGATCTTGCTGAGCTCCATGCTGGGCTTAGATTTGCAGTCCTCCTGCCTCAGCCTCTCACAGTGCTGAGATAGTATCCTGAGTACAGTTAGTTCGGGTACCTTGTGGGAGGGTGGGACTTAGCTGCCTGCAAAGGGCTGAGGCAGGAAGGTGCCAGAAACAGAGGAGACTCAGGGACTTGGGAAGGACTGAGCATGTGTGCAAGGAGCTCAGCACTGTCACCATCACTGTTCCCCCAGACCCCAAGACCAAAGCCTGGCTGAGGAAGCACGTGGAGCCCGTGTTCGGCTTCCCACAGCTTGTCCGGTTCAGCTGGCGTACAGCCCAGGCCATCCTGGAGAAGGAGGCGGAAGGTGTCACATGGTGGGTGTCACCTGGGTGCCCTGGGCAACGGGGAGGGAGGCCAGGGCTCAACTGGAAGTGGTCAGTGCCACCCCTCTCCCCTAGGGAGGACTCGGCGGCTGAGGAGCAGGAGGGACACAGGAGGATCACGTCCTACTTCCGAAGCGAAGGCCCCCGAGCCCGTGCCCCACACCGGTACTTCCAGGAGCGTGGCCTGGAGTCAGCCACTGCACTCTAGGAGCCAGCTCGCCACCCTCTGCCGGTCTGCACTGCCTCTGGGATTAAAGTTGTTTGAGGACAAGCAAGTCTAGGGGACTCCTTGTGGCAAGGGCAGCATGGGAGGGTGCTCACGGACTGCCTTTTGGAACCTAAACAGAATGGGCATTATGTGACTACCGTTTGATTTTCGGAGCGGGATGGTTGTTGAGACCAAGGGTCACTGTGTAGTTCAGGGTGGCCTTGAACTCAGGCGCATCGTCCTGCCTCAGCCTCCGGGTGCTAGGGTGACAGGTGTGCACCACCAATCCCAGTGTAGTTGATAAGCCTTTGTTATCCACTGTTCCTTCCCACTCCTGGCTCCGGCGTCTGATTCTGCTTTAGGGAAGCCACCTCTCCCCCATCCTCAGCTCCCTGTGAGCCCTTAGGCACCATTGTAACCCAGATCAGATCAGCCAGGGCACAGCGTCCCCTGGGCAATGAGCTAATGAAACTGGATCGATGTCAGCCAGCACCGGAAAGTGGTCAGTGCTTCTCCTAACCAGGCTGTGTCATGACCCCTGAACCATGGAGTCACTGGCCCGTGTTTGCTATTATGAGGAGTTCCTGTCCAAAGTATAGTAAGAGAAGGTACAGAGACAGCGTGTGTGTCTATGGTACTGGTGATTGAACCCGGGCCTTCTCACTGAGGTACATCCCAGCCACACACACACCCTTTTTTTTTGGTACCTGGGATCAAACCTGCGCTTGTGAGGCAGGTGGCAGAACCTCTGAGCTAAACCCCAGGCCCTCCCAGCCTTTTTATGTATTTATTTATTTATTTATTTTGGTACCGGGGATCAGACTTGGGTCCTTGTACTTGTGAGGCAGGCAGTGGCACCACTGAGCTAAATCCCCAGCCAGCCCTTTTTATTTTTGGTGGGGTTTTTTTTGTTTGTTTTTTAGACAGGGTCTCACTATGTAGTTGAGACTGACCTGGAACTTACTATGTATCCCAGGCTGGTCTCAAACTCACAGCGATCCTCCTGCCTCAGCTTCCCTAGTGCTGGGATTATAGGTATGTGCCACCATGCCCAGCTACACCTAGATTTCTAACATAATTTAATGCCCTAGATCCAGCCATTCCTGAGGCTTGCCCTGTTTGTTCTGAAGGGCACTTTTTGCTGAATGAGCGACAGCTGAATAAGGCCCATGCACTCCTTTCCAGGGGAGAACTTTCAATGCTGCTCTACCTTCTCTGTGGACAGAGAAAGCGTGATGGGTCCATCTCTGTATCACCTGGCACACAGCAGGCATTATTAGCCTTGCTCCAGTGACTAGACCTAAGGAGACATTGCCCCCTCTTTCTTTTCGGTTTTTGGAGTTTTTTGGGTTTTTTGAGACAGGGTCTCATTGTGGTCGCCCAGGCTGGCCTCAAACTTGCAGCATTCCTGCCTCAGCCTCCTGAGTACTGGGTTTACAGGTGTGCACCACCACACCTGGCTGCCCCTTTATAGGTTGGGAAATCAAGGCTCTCCTTAGGGTTCTGATAGGAAGTAGAGTCCTGTGAAGTGAGACCCCTCACTTTGTGGCAGTTCTTTCCCAGTCTTCCCCCAAGGAGAAGCCACACCAAGCTCTCTGGCTGGGGCTTTATTCAGAGGGAGAGGAGCCAATGCCCAGAGTTTGGGTTGCTGCTGGAGATGTGTGCTACAGGCCACTGCCACTGCCGCTGCCGCTGCCTGCAGTGTCCTGGGCAGAGGGGCGAATTTCCTGGGCGCTCCGGCTGGGTCGGCAACGTGGGGACACCGATGTGGGGAGGTTGAGGCAATGGCAGGAGCCAGGAGCTGCCACTGGCAGGGCATCACCGAAGACTGAGCGACAGAGGTCCACACCATCTGAAAAGGTCTGGGCAGGAGAAAGGGTGGGGTTAGAGTTCCGGTGGGAGGAGTCTAGATGCACAAGGGTTAGGACCTAGTGAACAGTCTGCTGGTTCCTTCCCAAATGGGGTTGGGAAGTTGGACGGGGCACTGGGGGGAATGGCTGGGTCCCCAAATCCTCTAGAGAGTTTTGTTTATTTTAAAATCAGGGACCAAACTCAGGACCTTGCACTTGCAAGGCAGGCGGCAGCACCACTGAGCTAAACCCCTGGCCCTTTTTGTTTTTTGAGATGGGTCTCACTGTGCAGCTTAGGCTGGATTTGAATTCACTGTGTAGCTCAGGCTGGCCTTTAACTTGTGGAAATCCTCCTGCCTCAGCCTCCTGGGTGCTGGGATGACAAGCCTGCACCAACCATCCCAAACCTAGAAAGAACTTAGACAGGCCCAGAGCAGAGATGGCCCCTGGGAAGGGCACTGTGGATTCGGGGCCCTTGGGGAACTATGGGCACATCCCAGCATGCCTGTCAGCCTGGAAGGATGGGAACAGGGGCATTGGCAGTGCCAACCAGACTCCAGGGCCTAGGAACATCAAGGGAAGACATCAGCCTTCTCATTTCTTCCTCTGCCCAGCACTCACCTGCCCATAGGTGGGGCAGCTGGGCGCACAACCCCTGTCTTCTGAGGTCGGCGGCCAAGTAGGGCCGCAGGTGATATCAGCTTTGCAGTTGGTGAACCTGGGAATAACATGTGGAGAAAGTGGGGTCAGGGCTTCAGAGCCAGGTCTAGTAATATTCCTACTCCAAGTCTCTGCCCACTGATGCCCCTCCTTCCGGTCTTAGCTCTGTCCTTTTCTTCTTTCATTTGTTTGAGACAAGTTTTTGCTATGTAGTTCATACTGTCCTTGAACTCACTGTGAGGCCTCAGCTGGCCCCAGGCTTCATGTAACCCTTCTGTCTCAGCCTCCTGAGTAGTATTATGGTATCCACTGCCCAAACTAGCTTTTTTCTTTTAAATAATGGGCTTTTATGCCATGGATTTAGCTCAGTGGCCCAGTGCCTGCCTGGCAAGTATGAGGTCCTGAGTTTGATCCCTGGTACAAAAAAAAAGAACTTTTACTTATTTTTTGAGGTGTTTGTGATTAAACTCAGGGCCTTCCACCTGCTAAGAAAGTGCTTTGCCCCTGAGCGGTACCCCCAGTGCATCAGGCCAATAGATAGTCTCAGCTTCTTCTCCTTCTTACCAGGTGGTGTCACAAAATACCTCATCTCTGTAGATACCAGACATAGGTTCTAGGTTAGCCCCTTACATGCCACACCCTTTCCTTTCTCTTTTCAGTCAAGAGACTGCACTTTTGTTTTTTGTTTTTTGTTTTTGTACTGGGGATCAAACTCAGGTCCTTGCACTTGCGAGGCAGGCAGTGGAACCACTGAGCTAAATCCTCCCCCACAAGAGACCCTGCGCTTTAAAAAACTCCACACAAAGCCAGGTATGGTGGCGCATGCTTGTAATCCCAGCACGCGAGAGGCTGAAGCAGGAGGATCGCTGTGAATTCAAGACCAGCCTGGGCTACATAGTGAGTTCCAGGTCAGTCTCAACTACATAGTGAGACCCTGTCTCAAAAACAAAAAAATTAAAATAAAATAAAATTTAAAACTCCACACCTCCCAGGCATAGTGGCTCAGGCCTGTAATCAGTACTCTGGGAGGCTGAGGCAGGACAAGTGAAAAATTCTGGGCAATTTAAGAGACACTATGCCAAAAGTTTTTAAAAAAGTAAAAAGCTCTGGTGATGTGTTTCAATGTGATGCCAAAAGAATTGAAAAGTAAAAATTAGAGAAGCTGGGCATAGTGGCACATGCCTGTGATCCTAGCACTTTGAAGGCTGAGGCAGGAAGATTGTCTCAAGTTCCAGACCAGCCTAGGCTATATAGTGAGTTCAAGATCAGCCTAAATTACATATCAAGACTCTCAAAACAAGGCCAGGGATTTAGCTCAGTGGTGCTGCACCTGCCTTGAAAGTACAATGTCCTGAGTTAGATCCCTGGTACCACACACACACACAAAAAAAAACGGGCAAAGATTTAGGTCTGGTGCCATGCCTGCCTGGCAAACAAAAGGTCCTGAGTTTGATTCCCGGTATCAAAAAAAAAAAAAGCCAGGCATGGTGTCCAACACCTGTAATCCCAGCACTCGGGAGGCTGAGGCAGGAGGTTCACTGTGAATTCGAGACCAGCCTAGGCTACGTAGTTCCGGGTTAGTCTCAACTACATAATGAGACCCTGTCTCAAAAAAAAAAAAACCCCAAAAAATACCAAACAACAACAACAAAAAATACCGAAACGTCCAGACCCATAAGAGTCCACACCCCCAACTGCTAGCTTCAAAGCCAGCATCCCGTAAGCTTCTCCCCTCTCTGCTCTGAATGCTAGGCCTCGTTCCTAAACAATTCCTTTGAGGGCTGCAGGTAGGCCACCCACAAGTCCAACCAAGCCTCAGGCCCCTGGGCCAGCATGCTGACCTTACCAGGCCTCACAGAGCTCTGCACAAAGTGACGGGGCCCCGCGCAGCCCCAGCAGCAGCAGGCGGAGGCGATGGTGGAGCACACGCTGAAGGTGTCCCAGGAAGGATCTGCACCTGGACCTCGGAGACAGGGCCAATGATCAGGACCCAGGGAAGGGCGTAGGGTCCCGATCCCAGGCTGGGGCTACGCTAAGGGAAGCTATACTCACCGGGGACTCAGCGTACCACAGCGTTCAGGGGCAGCTCCGGGGCCCCACGCCTGGGGTCTGTCCACCTCTGAGGGACAAGGCGTTGGTGACGGGACCCCATGTGAGTCAGGGACTTGGATCATCAGGTAAGGTTGGGGAAATGAGGCCTGAGGGTCCCCTGAAAAAAGGTCGCTACAGTTAGTTACATCAATCCTCTCAGACAGAAAACTCACCAGAAAACTCACACCTATCATCCCAACCCTGGGGTGTCTGAAGCAGGAGAATGCCTCAAATTTGAGGCCAACCTGAGCTACCCAGTGAGATCTTGTCTCAAAAAACCAAAATCAGGGCCAAGGATTTAGTTCAGTGGTGCTGCACCTGCCTCAAGAGTGCAAGGTCCTGAGTTATTCCAGTACCCCAAAAATCAAAACAAAATCAAACATGAAATTTCAGTAAAACTGAGTGTGGTAGCATGTGCCTATACTACCAGCATGCCAGAGGCTGAGGCAGGAGGATCACAATGAGTTGGAGGCCAGCCTGCACTACAAAGTGAGACTATCTTAAAAAAAAGGAAAGCGCCGGGGATTTAGCTCAGCGGTTCGGTGGCCTGCCTTGAAAGCACAAGGACCTGAGTTCAATCCCCGGTAGCAAAAAAAAAAAAGTCAAGATTAGTTACTTTCCAATAATACAATAATAATGATAATTAAATAATGTCCTAGTAGAGAGAAATGTCAGGAAAATGGGCCAACAATACCAAACTACCAAAGTTCAGAATTTGATAGGAAACTTTATTTTTTGGTACCAGGGATCAAACTTGGGACCTTGGGCTTTTGAGGCAGGCGGTGGCACCACTGAGCTAAATCCCCGGCCCTGACCTAGGAAGCTTAAGTAAAGATTCTTCTCTGGCTGCAGGTATACCTCCAACAGGAATGATTGTATCACTTATAATCAGCTTAGATTTGTCTTATGCCGTGAAATGGTATAAGTAGTCCTATGCTTAATCTTTCACAACACCTCTCTGATGGCTGTATTTCTCTCCTATTTTTAGTGGCCCAAAGACCCACAGGTATGAAGTAGCAGATCTGGGATTTGGATTGGAAACCAAGCAGTCCAACATGGAGTTTGTTTGCTTTTGTTGTTAGATTATTTATTTTGAGACAGGGTCTTGCTATGTTTCTCAAACTCGATATCCTCCTGCCTCAGCCTCCCAAGTGCTCTATTACAGGTGTGTGCTACCAGTCCCAGCTCAAAGTCTGTGCTCTGACCCATCATTCTTGGCCAGCCTGAGCCTCTGAAGGACTTCCTGGCATTGCTCTGGTGGAGTGGGGTTTCCTGAGTGGTGGGGGTTCATCAGGGCCTGGGTACTCACTTTCCAGGTGCAGCTGTTCTGTGCCTGGTTCTGCTGCCAGCCCATGGCCGCTCTGGGACCTGGCCTGTGGTGGATGACTCCCGCCACAGGCCTCTAGTAGTATCCATGCCAGGGTTGGTGATAGGACCCAGGCCAATCCCCTGGACCAAGTGTTGCTCTTCCAGGCCATGTCTTCCTTGGATAAAGGCAGCAGGGATGGAGTCATGGGCGTGGCCATCCCTTCCTGAATTTGGGGTGGCACCCTGGGACTGGACCAGACCCCACCCACATCCAGCACTGGGGATGGGGATGAAGCCTTCACTTCCAGGGCCTGGGGTGGTCAAGGCTGACTTTGACCCTGGTGCCCCTCCCATCAGATCCAAGTCCCTTCTACCCCTTCAGGCCCAAATGCCTCCCCCAGCTGGAACCAGCCCTCCGACAGACCTCCCACCACCCTGTCATCGCCCTCAGCCTCTCCCGCTGTCCTCCCGCCAAAGGGCGACCCTGGCACTTCCAGTTCCCTTCCTATCCAGCCCCACCCTCTTTCTCGCCAGCCTGGCTCATGGTCACCTTCTCTCGGCTTACAATTGGCTTAGGAACTGCCACCAGCGCTGTGCAAGCTTGGGACCGAGATTGGCTGTGGCAGAGCCAGGATCCACGGTGGGATCTGGAAGCTCCAGGCAGGGGAGACTTCCTCTGTGTGGAGCCAAATGGAGCCCCTTCCTACCTCCCAGGCCCAGGCCCTTACCTGTGAGCTGGACTAGGATCTGGTGGCTGCTGGGACAGAGCAGGAGAGTCCGAGGCGCAAATAGGGCAAGAGAAAGGGGCGGGGATTGGTTATGGGCGGGGCGTCCTGTCGTCCCGCCCCTGGTCCGCCTACAAAAGCTGGTGGATTTGGGGCTTGTGTGTATACTGATGTGCTCTCCCTTATATTGAGATTTTTTTTTTCGTACCGGGATTCAAACTCGGATCCTTGCACTTGTGAAGCAGGGAGCGACGCCACTGAACTAAATCCTTATATTGACTTTTTAAAAAATTTTAGTTGAGTTTATTGGTACATTTTAGGGATACAGTACAGTTACATTCATTGTTGGGATTTTTTTTTTAATTTTAGAGAGTATATTGACTTTTACTTTAAGCTCTGTATCTATATGTTTGGGGAGTGTGCGCGTGTTCAGAATTTCAGTATATGTCCCGGGCCAAGTATGTGCAGTTAGAGACATGAATCAAAATAAATGTGGGGTAGTCAAGGGAGGTGGCACACTTCTGTAAGCCCCGCACTCAAGAGGCTGAGGCAGGAGGACCACATCAAGTTGGAAGCCAGCCTGGATTACATAGCCAGACTCTGACTCAGAAAATCAAAATGATGATGATGATGATGTTGCGGGAGGGAGGGTGTAGGATTCAGGTAGGTGTCCTTTTTTGGCGGGGGGTTGAGACAGGGTCTCCTAGAACTCACTATGTAGCCCAGGCTGGTCTGGAACTCACAGCGATCCTCCTGCCTCTGCCTCCCGAGTGCTGGGATTAAAGGCGTGCACCACCACGCCTGGCTGAGGTAGGTGTCCTTCTGAAGGTGCTATAGGTAACTCAGTGGAGAAAGGTTGCTGACCTGCCATCGACGTTAACAAGGGAACATTGTCATGCATGTTGTGTGGCTGCCTGAGAAGTGTGCTCGTGCATGTTGTGTCCATCTGCAGCTTCTGTGGGTGAAATCCCCTCTTCGCCCACTCATTCAGCCAACACCTATTGAGCACCACTGTGTGCTGGCTCTGGAAGGACACAGTGAGCACAGTGTGGCAATCTCAGCGGATATGCCGATGGCAGAATTGGGTGGAAAAATGGCCCTGCAACCGACACTGCGTTGGGAGAAGAATGTATCCGTGTGTCAGGCGAAGATCTGTGTGCAAAAGGGCACCGTTTGCTGTGGGAATTCTGTGGCTGAACTTCTGTCTCTTGAGCATCCATGTGTTATTTCATTTGATGAGTGTGTGTACCTGTGTTGCCCAAGTGTGTACTTGTGTGTTCTCAACGTATGGGTTTGTGTGTGAGTCTGTGTTTGTAGGGTATATGTGTGTGTGTGTGTGTGTGTTTGCAGAATATGTATGTCTGGCTGGATGTGGTGGTTCATGCCTCTGATCCCAACACTCAGGAGGCTGAGGCAGGAGGATGGCCAGGAGTTCAAGGCCAGCCTGGACTACACAGCAACACCCTGTCTTAAACAAACAAGGTAGAAGAATGTGTAAGTCTGTGTAGTGCATGTGTGGAGAGTAGGCATAGATGGGTTTTTGTGTGTCTGCCTAAGTCTATGTTTATAAATGTGTGTGTTTGCAGAAGGTTGTTCAAGTGTGTTTTGTATCTGTGAGTGTGTGACTGCTAAGTGTGCATGTTCATGTGGGGGACCTGTTTGCTGAACATATATGCTTCTGTGTTCACACCCACGTGCATATGTGTGGAATGTGTATGTGTGCCTGTGCTTGCAGGATACATATGTGTGTTTTTGTGAACAATGTCCACCACCATGAATCGTCTTGCCTCCATCTCAAGGTGAGGCAGGATTTCTGTCCGTCTCTCTTGTTTTGTTTGGTGTTGGGTTTTTTTGTTTGTTTGTTTCTGTTTTGTTTTGGGTATCAGGGATCGAACTTGGGGCCTTGTTGGTTTTGTTTTTTGAAACAGTCTTGCTGTGTAGTCCAGGCTGTCCTCAAACTCCTGGACACCCTCCTACCTCAGCCTTTGGATTACCGACAGGTGTGTGCCATTTTGCTTGGCTCTATCTGTTTTTTTTTTTGTTGTTGTTGTTGTTATTGTGCTTTCAGAATCTAAAGCTCTGTATTGTGCATAGTAGGTGCTCCATAAGTGTTGAGTAAAGGAGTAAGTCTGCAGGAGACACCCAGTGATGGTCTCAGGCATTGGCAAACAGAACCTGCAGGACCCAGACTTCCCTTGTCTCTATTGAGCTGAGTGCTCACAGGTCAGCTCTCCCTGGTCCCTGGGCTGTGTCTCACACCAGAGTCCACAGTCCTCCTCCTCCCTGCCCTCGACTTCGGAGCGTGAGCTAGGATTTCAGCACCGAGGACAGGAGTGCACGGGACCAGGACCACGGAGAGCTCCCGCGGCCAGGGAGTGCGAGCGAGTCCAGGCCTTGGGCAGAGAGAACTCAGCAAGACAACCCAGGCGTGCGACAGAAAGGCGCACCCAGCAGGAGTGAGGACGTAGAGGCAGGACACGCTCCCGGGATGCTCCCAGGCCGACCTAGACTCCACTGACTCCCTCGTGGTCGACAGGGGTCGCTCTCACCGGGTGACGTCGCCCTGAAGCCCCAGGGGCCAGCTCCAGGATGGACCCTGGGGAAGCCCGCCCTGCCCTGTCCCCAGGGGCCGGCGCTTGAAGCGCGGAGGGACGAGACCTCCCCCTCAACTCTGAAAAACATGGCTTGGGTTTCACTGTGTGGACAAGGGGTGGGGTTGAAAATCCGCTTCTGATCCCTCACCCCACTAACTACCATCTAATCACTCATAAATATAGCCTGACTTGGCCTGGCTCTGTAATCCTGAGTGCAAGGGAGGAGTCGCTGGAGGGGCTGCAGGTTCCCTGCGGGGAGGGGCTGCAGGTTCCCTGCGGGGAGAAGCAGGGGAGGGGGTGTGTATGCATGGGAATGTTTTTCTTTTTTGACTTTTAAAATTTTTTACTAGTGCATACTGATCCATACTGATTACATTCCTGAGGGAGCCAGTGCACGTACACAACACATCTTAATTCTGTTTCTTCCTTCCCTCCCCTCCCTCTGCTGTGATTATCTTTCTGAGGGCCACTTCCTAAGGGGCCTCCCCTCTATAAGGATCTCCCTCCTGGGAGGCGAGGGTCTTGTGGATGTGGGCCATTTCCCACAGGCCGTGTAGCTTGTTGGGGTCTCTCCTTAGGGCGCCCTCCCCCAGGTCCCACATGATGTCACCCATAGGATATTTCCCTGAGGAAATGCCTCTGTGTGCAGGGTAGGGTGGCTTTGAGATGAAACACGCCCTCTCACACCGGCTATCAGGAATGATTTTGAGGGTGGGAAACAATTCTATCTATTGACATTTTAATTTTTATTAGTACACATTTGCAGTGCGTACTGCTTACATTTATCTTGAGGAGCTGGGGCATGTGCATATCACATCTTAACTCTTCTTCCGACCCTTTCTGATGGGGTGGTTCTGGATTGGAGAGGGCATCTGCAGAGAAACTCCGTCTCCAGTGGGAGGGGTCTCCAGAGGGTCCCCATGGGGACTGCGTTTCAGTGACTGTCTTCCTTAGGGAGCACCTTGGCTCAGAGTCTACCCATGGGAATGAATCTCTCTGAAGGGTCTCTGGATTCCACGGCTCCCTTGGGGGCATCTGAAAGCTCCACCCCTCTGTCCTCTTGTCTCCCCCAGAGCGAGCGGCGGTGGCCGAGGCCAGGCTGGGCGCCCAG